AGCCGACAATTCCTTCATACCGTCACCAAACACGCCAGAATCTCAGCAACACATGGCCTGGTCGCTTAGACATGGTGTATACGCCGAAGAGATCAGTTTCCCCGGCTATTCTGGCCAGAGTCAACCACAGTCGGCCTATTATCAGGCCATGTCGAGCGCATCTTCACCCTATCTTCTGCAATCCATCTACTTGTCCACGACTTCCGGCCACCCCGGAGGTGGATCCGTCTGGTCTCAGGAGCAGGCAGACTGCTTGACTGGCCAAGGCAGTGAACCGTCTGACGACTGGACCCGACTCGGTATTGCTGCCAGAAGCACGGATCGTTCAGTTGACCCGATCAGTCCTTTGGCCAATCAGAGGCACAGGCGACAAGTAGCCAAATCAACCGGGGCCGGGGTTGAACCGGACAGTCAAGAGGCAACACTCAGACCCTCGGTCTACAATTATCCCAATGCCACTGGTTTTCTCGCCACCGGCTGGGGCTCTAGTCAGCCTCAATCGCTGCCACCTTCGACACATCATCACGCATACCCGCAACACCTTTCACAACCTACCGATTCCCAAGGAGACCAACAACAGTCACATCCTCGTCTACCGTCGCAGCAGAATCACACCCATCTTCACCTTCATTCCAACCCGTCGGCACACCAGCATCAACAACACTCTTTCTCTCCAGACACAGCAGACCAACTCTATTTGGACTCTCGCCTCCGAGAGGGCAAGTCGCTTGAACAACAACTCGCGTCACATCGAATGGTCGGAAGAGAAGCTGAAATGCGAGAAAAACTTTCATCGCTCGGCACCCCTGACCGCCTTGCCGACTATCGGTCTTTATTGGTTGCGGCGGCTGCAGTCCGAGAGCAGCATCTTCAACACCAACACCATCAACAACAGCATCATCAACATCAGCAACAACAACAACAAAGTCCCATGTCTCAGTCTCAACAGTACCCACTGTCTCCAGAATTGCACTACCAACAACAGCATTTTTATCAGACACGTCAACAACAACTGTACCCCAGTGGGCAAAACTATTTCTCGGACTATCAACAAACACCGCAGCAGCAGCAGCAACAGCAACAACAACAACAACAACAACAGCATTACTCATCCCTCTACCAGGCTTACCAGACCTGCGGAGCCACTCAACCTGCCTTGCAGGCCTACATTCCAAATGATATTCGGCCTGGCTTCATGCCTTCCCCGAATGACGAGACGACCCATTGCTTTGTCCCACTCGATTATCCCTCAGCCGCAGCCAACCTTGACTCGACGGCAACCCTGACAACATTGCCCGTGACGACAACAACTACAGCCGCGGCAACAACGGCTGCTACGGCCGCGGCCGCAGCCGCAGCTGCCGCGGCAGCAGCAGCGGCGGCCTGTTGGATGCCGTTTGGACAAACGGATGCTAATTTTTTGACACGACGTGCAGACCAAGATGTTCGAGCAGCCACGATTTCGACGGGTGGACGTCGATTCGATGATGGAGAGTCGTTCAAGTCGTTTCGAGGCCCTCTTAGTTCCTGGCAAGGCACATTAGGTGGGTATTGATAATCCTTTCCCTTTTATGGATTTTTAGCCAATTACTCAAAATATATCTTCTAGACTGTCAAAACGATGATTTTCTCCTGACAGGAAGTCAAACCATGTTTATGTAGATACCAAGAGTAGCTGGGTTTTGATGAATCTCTCGAGAAACATGGTTGTAGAGACTTATTTTGTACCAAAGTACATGAAGAAGTGATTCCTTTATTGAGCTCACCGGAAGACGTCTATTGGTTCCACTTGTTCTGCAGGCGTTAACTTGAATACGGAGTTCAGGTTGACGCAATCCACGAGACATGCCTCGTTTCGGGTGAAAAAGATGGACATTCCCGGAGCTGGAACATATTCTTGCAAAGGCCTCAAGCTATACATACTCAACTAAAAACGGGAAAAAAAATATAGATGGATATATAATTAGTTAGTACTTTTTCTTGGGTGTG